TCACCCAGAGGGCATACGCATCTGTCTCTTGTGCAACATGATGAAAAACGCTATCGTCAATCCCTTGTCGAATTTGATNCAATGGAGGCTTCAACAATGGTGGGCTTCTAGAATTGGTAGTTGGCAGCAGCTGAACTTATCAAAAACACTAAACTGGTGGCCTTGATTATTTTCAAATTAATCTAATGTTAGACCAAGTCTTGCCGGCCGATAATAGCTAAATTAAAGGCCAAACGGGGTAATAGGAAGAGGAGATTAACATATGGTAACTTCACTTGACCTATAGATACTGTATCAATACTTTTCTTTTATTTTTCATTGTTGTGGGGTTGACAAGAGAGAGTTGCTTAGCTGATAAGCACCATCCACTTCTAACTTTGAGATTGCGAGTTCGAGTTTATTAAGAGTGCAAAGGAAAAAGTTCTTGGAGAGGAGTTTGAGGTCAACATGTGGGTTGCTAATGGGGTAATGCCCATTCTCCCTCTTGATCTTAAAGGTTTTAAATTGGTTTGCATTCCATAGTATGTCACTAGTCCAAGCAGTGGCAGATCCAGTTTTGTGCTGCTAGTTCAACCAAATTCAGTATTTTCAGTCAGTGCTAAAAAAAATCTTAAAGGCTGAACCAATAAAAAATAAGTCCTATATTAAATTGGGGTCTAAGAGACTTGACAGATTAAGACTAATTTGGTCATTCAATGTTCAGGAAAAAATAAATTTCTATTAGGTCTAGCTTTTAAAATTCAAACGGTATCAATTTAATGTATTTGATATATATAATTTGTATTAATAAACTTGATGTTAATTGTTCCAGGGTTTGATGAACGAGGGAGCTCGAGTGATCGGTGTCGCCGGAGTTCCTCCATTCGGGTGCTTGCCGGTGGTCATCACGATAAATTCCGGCAGTGCACTTCAACCCCGCCAATGTGTTGAGTCGTACTCTGCCGTTGGAAGAGAGTACAATTTGCTTCTTCAACATTTGCTAAAGACTATGCAAATTCATGACACAAAATTATTCTACGCCGATATCTACAACCCTTTAAACGACATGATACAAAATCCAGCTAAATATGGTGAGCGCCCAAAAGTTTTCCATTTTGGATTTACTAACTAATTAGATATACTGATACATTCAAACCTCTCAATAACAGTTTTGTTTGTTTCGAATATTTTTGGATGTTATAGCGAATTGCTGTTATAGAGAACATATATTATAATACAACATGAAATTTGGTTCCAAAAAAACTTGGCTTTTATAGTGAAGTGTTGTTATTCAAGAATGTTGTTATAGTGAGGTTTGACTGTAGTATAAATATTATTTATACGTACTAGTAATATATCAATTTAACTGGTCGCAGTTATTAATAATTAAGATACTAATTCCACTTATTATAACTAGTTACATGTGGGGGGATATACGCTATAAATTTCGGGTTCATCTGACTCATTAGACATTACGTACGTAGCTTTGGCTTGGGACATGTATATGTGTTAAGAATTCATTAAATAAATACAGTATAATTAAAAAAACCAATATAGTCTCACAAAAGGGGCTTGGGGAGGGTGATAAGTATGCAGAGTTACCCCTACTTTTTGAAGGTAAAAAAGTTATTTCGATAGACCCTTAGTTCAGTAAAATTCTAAACCGAACACATAAAATTCAAATCTTGAATCCGCCTTCAATTACATAAAATTTGACCTTATAATATAAAAATTCTTTTATATGTTAGACTCTTCCTTCTTTTTTTTCCTTTTTTTCAAATATACTTCATTTGTTTCATTTAGGTCCATCCAACTTTTTCTAATTTTTGTAGGTTTTACTGAAGTTACTAAGGGCTGCTGTGGAAGTGGATTTATTGAAGCTTCAATTCTGTGCAATCCAAAGTCAATTGTTTGCAGTAATCCTTCACAACATATGTTTTGGGATTCAGTCCACCCAAGTCAAGTTACTTATTACACTTTGTTCCAAGCCTTGCGTCCTACCATTGATTTTGTTATCAAACAATAATCATATGGTGAAGAACACGAAAATAGAAAATTAACAAGTGATTAGAAATTGTTCTGATTCATGTATTTCCAAGTTTAGATGATTATGATGAACATACTAATTTCTGATTCTTCTCCCTTTTATTTCCTTTATTTTTTTCCACCTTTGTAATTTTATGGGATATATTGCTCACAGTGAAATCCTCAAGTAGATAATAACTTTAAAGTTTTTGATCTCCTCATTGAAGTTAGGTCCCATATAAGTGGGGTGTATAAAGAAAATCGATAAAATACACCAAACCATAATTCGAGTCAAATCAAAAGGAAAAAAAAACTTGATGTGGTTTGGTTTGATTTAATTTGGTATTGGGGAAAAAACTCGACTATAATTGGTTTGATTTGGTTTTAACTAAAAAAAGTCAAGCCGACACCAAACCAACCCGACATCACATAAATGTTTTACATATAAAAATATTTATTTTAATGTAATTTATAAATATTTCTTAAACGTTTTCACAGTTTAATTTATCTTTTAATGTATTATTTCAAGCTTGGACATAACATTCTTGAATGGTCCAATAAGTTTTATAGCTCATAAATGTAGTAACTCAAATAAATTTCAAAACAATACTAATACTACCAAAATAAATTCAATTCAACATTAGAAATGACAACAACGTCGTTGGATATCTATTTTTAGTTTTGCATTATTTTTGTAATAAAAATGCATAACTTAGTTTATCTTTTTCTTTAGTGCTTAGTCATGTAATTAATAGTACTTATTAGATGTACTTATTTTAGCATGAATTATATATAGTACTTTAGATTAATTATGTTCATTTTTATTATGGCTTATTAATTAGAAATATTTATTTCATATAATTTTATTATTTTTGTTATTAAATATTTTAGTACAATGTTATAACTCATCTTTTGCTGCTCAGGAAGGGAGTATGGGCTATAGAAGTATTACGGAGGTTAGACTGTTAGTGAGAGCTTTGCTACGAAGAGGTGGTAGAAGTTTAGAACCAAACTCATTTCTTTTTATATTATAAATGTAGATTTTATATTATATTTATAAAGAAATAGCTAAATGGAACACAAGAGGTTAGCTAAATGTAGATGTACGTGTATAGTTCATATTAGCTGGTTTTCCAATACATTTTCTTGAAGGTATTGGCTTTAAGTTCCCCTCCAATAACTTTTTTTTGTTTTTTTTTTTTTTTTGCTAACACACATGACAGGGGTCCATGTCAAACTCCCTCATCAAAAAAATCAAGGAAAGTTTTGACTTCTCTTATGGTTCGCGAACAGAGAAAATCGGGTAAAAATTCTATTAACTAAGGTGAAGGTGTAAGACACTTTCTGAGTCTCGTAGTTCTATGCTTAATAATTTACACTTGACTTACTTAATCGGGATATTCTATGTTTATAGGGATTTTATGTATTTTGCCATTATCCGCTTTTATACCTCTTTTAATTGCCTGATTTATGAGATTACGGGAATTATCTTAAACTATCCAGTTGTAGCTTTGGAACATTGAGCTTTACAATTGATCAGAGACTCCATTAATGAGTTCTAGAAACTTCACATGAGTTAGAGGAAGAGAAGATCGATTTGAGCAAGAGAATGAAAACTTGTTATTTCTAATATCTGATAGTGTATATATACACGTGGGGTACCACTCCACTAATTAATTCCAACTAACTTGACAGCTAGGACACAACTAACTACCAACTAACTATGATTAACAAACTAAGCTAGCTAAACTAACTATGATTATAAAAGATACAGAGAAGGAAAAATTAAATATAGACAGTTATATCTCAATACCCCCTCCCCCCAAGTTGTAGATGAGGTTCTCACACCTAAGTTGCTCAATATCGCAGAGTGCTTAACACCAGTAAGAGCTTTACTAAGGACATCTGCTAACTATGCACCAATACCAATATGATGAAGAGAAACCAATCTTTCTTAGAGCTTATCTCATACAAAGTGACAATCAACCTTGATGTGCTTCGTTCGTTCATAAAAACAGGATTACGAGCTACGTATAAAACAGATTGACTATCACAAAACACTGAAACAGGCTTAGGATAGGGAATAGTGAGCTCATCAAATAATCTGCATAACCAAGTTAGTTCACCAACAATTTTTCTCAAGGATCTGTATTCTGCTTATGCTGAAGATAGGGACACTGTTTCTTGCTTTTTGGACTTCCAACAAATTGGACTGTTGCGCAGCAGGACTATGCAGCCAGTAAATGACCTTCTAGAATCTGGAACAAGCAACCCAGTCTGAGTCGCAATAACCCTTTAGACTGCAATCATGGTCATTGGATAGAAAGATTCCTAGAGTTTGATCACTCTTTAGGTATCTAAGTAAGTGGAAAGCTGCTTTCAAATATGGTTCCCTTGGGTCTTTGTCACAGCCCGGATTTCCCACCATCGGGTGTCGTGATGGAGCCTACTATCGGAGTAAGGCAAGCCAAATATTTAAAACACCTTTCCTGCTTTCTTTCAAACAATATAATAAACGAGACAAAATTTAAGCGGAAGACTGTAAATCTAAAGCAACTGAAAACCAAAAGTGCGGAAATTTAATACACATCACTACCCAAGGTCTGGTATCACTAGCTCACGGACTACTACAGAATACTACAAACAATGTCTGAAAGGAAATACATCATGTTTGTCTGATACAAGATGAACAAACGAAAAACATGGAAAGGGACTTCGGCCT